TCTAAATTGAGAAGTAATATCAATGCTAATTAAACACACCAAGTGAAACATCAAAACTCAAACTCAACAAGCTAAACAAATCAAGCAAATATTGAATGATATGGAGTGAAAACTTAACTTGAAATTCAAATACATATCATCTCTCCCTTACTACATACTCTGCCCGTCTCTCCCTTTTTGTATCAAATGAATAAGGGATAAACAACAAGAATTCTATCTCCCGTCCATTTTTTTGTTTAAATATCTTCTTGAAATACCAACAACAATATACATGATGACTCAAAAATACAATTGATAGCATTTATAAGTATAATCAATGAACAATAAATTTTTCCATATACTCAGTTCAAGTTTAAATAGAGTAGATTGTATAAGTGACCAATATATGTAAAGTTCTACTAATCCTTTGTAAGCAGGATTCCAAACTTTAATTTTGTGAGAAATGATATGTTAAACATCACCATCAATAAGTTCACTCCTCTACTTATGAGGTCAAATCAATGATAGCATGCTAGAGCCTATAAAGAAGCTCATTTTTATGTATATAATTTTTTTTCTCCCCTTGAATTTGAGCATATTGTTTTCTCCTTTTTTATGTGCAATCTCTTCTCTATTAAGTGATTAATATGATCATTGTAACGAGTTTTAGGCCGGTTAACCCAAGTCAGATGACTATATGCATCAGGTTATGAGAAACCCTCAAAATTAATTGCTCGAATCAAATATGCTACCCAAAAAAGTATAAGATATAGAACTTTTCTCTTTTAAGGGAATATACTTGAGCTTAGGTTTACTATAATAATGTCAATTCATGCTCGAAGTCATCAATTAAACTTATACTGCTAAGTACTCCATAAAAACCTAAACAAGTAATGAAAAATATGCTACAACTCATCAATTAAATTTATACTTGGTCACAACATACATACTCAAGTAAATCATATATCATGTTGTAATAAAAAAAAACTCCATTTTCTTATTTTTCAATTTTTTAAAATCAAATTGCCTAGGAAGCAAAACAAAAATGAGATACATATAATAATGAATGTATCACAATTAATAAGTATAAACATGCATCAAAAACACTTAATCAGTTAGGTATACAAATACTCTTACCTTTAAGAGCACCGCGATCAATTTCAAATTTTTTCATATCACTCTTTTTCATCCCAATCTTGCTAGAAACAGAATTATTCACAATTAATTGTTTCAATAACTCAGTTAGTTGAATAACCTAATCAATAAGAAAGTTAACTCTACTAGATATGTCATGATTTCTACTTATTTTCACAAATCTATTGCACCTAGGCCTTGTGTTTTCCAACTCACTACAATTAAAGAATGTAGGAATAAATCTATAGCGAAATCTACGTGGTTCCTAAAGTTGTTTCTATTTGGAAACATCCTACGTTGTTTAATGGGATTACCTACTCTCCGAGTCTTATTAGTAGCGGGACAAATGTGATTTTGGAAGTACGGGCATCATAATGATTAGAATTATAAGAGCCTAGACCACTCCTGTTTCCAGAAGGCTTGTACATCTCTAATAGATTATCAAGCTTATGAGAACCACTAGAGAATGCAAGAAGTTGAGACTTGGAATATTCAAATTTGTTTAGAAGGTTCTTAAACCTGGATTTCTAATTTATCATTCTCAATAGTCAGCTTACTAACTCTCCTAGAGGACTTTTCAAGATCACCTGTAAGATTCTTAGTCTTAGACTCTAGGAATTGATTCACAGTATCTAATTTATTGAGGCAAAAGGTAGACTCCTGAAGGTCAACTATAAGTTTCTATCTTTCTAGCTCAAGTGCATTAACCTTGTTAAGCAGACTTTATTCACATTTTTAGACCCTCCTCAAATAATTGATGATAAGCTCTCTTCCTCAAAGTGCTCACTACTATCTAATTCATCAACCTTCTCACTGTCTTTATCATATTCACTCATAATCCTAGCAGTGAAGGACATAAACTTTCCACTCTTATCAGGAGCGTAGCCCTCACTTTGATTATCCGAGCTAGACTCGTTATCTGTGAGAGTTGCATTCATAGCTTTACCCTGATTTTTCTTACCGTTTGGGTAATCACTCTCATAGTGGTCAAAGCATTGACACTTATGACATCTTACATATTGAGATCTCTTTCTAAACTCATTTGGAGGACATCTATGTCTCTCTTGAGGCTTATTCTTATTTCTAAACATTTTTCAAAATTTCTTGGTGAAATAAGTTATCTCCTTATCATTAATGGTATTTGTATTGGTAGAGTCATACACTTCTTCCCTAGCAGTGTACAAAGATATAGACTTGTTTTTGTTAGGTTGAGATATGGTGAGTTGACAAGTTTGGAGAGATCCAACTAATTCTTCAATCTTAACCGTATCTAAATCCTTGCTCTTCTCTGTAATCATAATTTTAGGCCTAAATATCTCAGGCAAGTACGATGGATTTTTTCGAAAATCTTATGCTCGTGAATTCTCTCACCTAGGTTGAAATTAGAATTAACTATGTCATTCAAGATCACACAACTGTCACTAAATATCTCATCATCCTAATCTCTTCAAACCCAGTAGTCAACTTCTGTAATTTAGAATTCTTAATAGCCCAAGTTCTCTCATGTGTGGTCTATAAAATATCCCAAACCTCTTTAGAAACCTCATACATAGACACATGCATAATTTTTTCTGGTGACAGCCATAAATAAAGCATGTAAAACCTTACTATTCCAATTACACTCATATAAATTAGTCTTCGACCAATTAGCTATTGGAGGGGGGGTGACAACATTATTAACGGTGCTAGAAAGGACAATCCAATCATTCACTACGCTCAACCAAATACGCTCATCCATTGATTTTAGGATGACTCTCATTCTAACTTTCCAATAGGCGTAGTTATTGCCATTAAAATATGGCGGGACAGACAATAAACTACTCATCTAGAAAACTAGGGTCAGGAATCGAATTTGGGCTCTAATACTAATTGAAAGTTACGTGTCCGACTCTAAAATCACCTAGAGGGGGGGGGGGGGGGGGGGAGGGGGGGGGGGGGGTGAATAGGTGAATAAAGGGGAATTAAAATTACCAATTAAAAGTAACAAGTCGCTTTTTAATTGTTCTAGATATTTAGTCAATCAAGTCAAGTTTATACTATGTTAGATTGCCACAATAATAAATAAAGTAGTAAATAACACAAGATTTGTTGATGGAGAAAATCCTTTACAGGATTAAAAATTTCGGGACCAACTCAGTAACTTTCACTATAGACAATAAAGACTTATAGTATGATGCAGTCTAGAAAACTCACTAGATTCATTGATCTAATTTCTGCAATCTTTAAGACCTGTTGGAATGTGCTCATTCACACATACTCTCGATCTTCTAAAATTATCAATGTCTCGTAAATCACCAAGAATACCTTGTTCTTGTACTCTTCATATGCTTTCGGTCCAACTTCTCCCAATCTTCAACAACCTCTAAAAGCTATCGAGAAAGTAGATGTTTCGATATGAAGTTTCAATATTTTCGCTAAAACTCGTGGTTAATTGATCTTAAGAATCAAAGGATTAATCTCAATATCTGGATGTGTTCTTGAATTGTGGAATGATGTTATGATGATGTATTATAATAATAAACCACACAGAAAAACGTAATGGGCATTGAATATTTATAATATGAGGTATTTGAGTAGTATATGATAGATAAAATTCTTGAAAATCGCCAACTAGAGTTTCACCTTCAACACCGTCATTCAAGCGCCAGACGAGCGACATAAGGGTGACCTTGGTTCTGTTTTGAATGCTTGAGCATCAGTTTGGTGACATGCTAACATAAATCTCAAAAACTCCTAGTTCATCTATATAACACCTCGAAAGACTCCTTTACTTTTACAACTCTTTTATAATAATCTTTTTGTCTAAAGAATAACCAATAAAACTTAAACACCCAACAGACGCTAAAGTCCAATATCAGTCGGTATTGCCAATCCCTTAACAGAAAATGTTGTTTAGCAGCTGATCGCCAAAAGCCAGCTAGCACAGGTGAATACCAACCAAAATATATGTTTGTCGGGAAACATAGAGATTCTTACTTACCAACAAGAAGCTCGATAAATGTTAAGGCGCCAAATCCCCCACCAAAATATTTGGGCCAAAAAGTAAGATGCTCACCGAGCCATTACATATGGTTAGCAAAATAGTTAGTTTTGTTAGACGTAGTGGAAATGTCAGCAACAATTAAAGTTTGATTTTTGAACGAATCTGGACGCATCAAATCAGGCAAGTTGGTTCCAGATAGCTAGTCCATTTAAATTTGGTCTTAACACAATTAATATGCAGCTTGGATAGTCGCATAATGCTCTAAAATTTTTCTATGTATAGCATGGTGTACATCACCCTCCCATGTGAGGGGGCCCACCATGATTAAAAAAATTGTGGGCCCCCTTTATGTGAGGGGAGTGTACACCATCCTGTACAAATATGGTGGACATGTAGCAGAATAAAATGTCACTTAACAAAATTTAATAAAAAGGAAAAATATCTTGCTATTTAATATAACTTTGATTAAACTTTTCAAAGTGTACCTTAATTAACCACAAGAGTTTTGCTATGAGTACATAATGGTACCCATAATGTTTCATGTAATGGCCACATGGCCACCAACAATTGGGAGGTGCCTGTGTGGGTACCATTATGTACTCATAGCTTAATCCTGCACCAACTAGAAACCAATTCAATTAAGGGATACATGTGTTTAATAACCGTGCAAGCGAAAATTTTGAGATAAAAAATGATAGAAAAATTTCTAGAGATTTTTTAAACTTAGAACACTCTAAAAGAATAAATTACACATCATAAAATGAAAAAACAATGTTCTATGCATGAATCAAAATTGCGGCTCTTCCAATTAATTTGAAATTGCAGAGCTAACACGTGATTTTCACCTATTTCCCACCGCTATCAAACAATTAATGTACAAACATGTAAGCTAAAATAATTGAATCTAGTTATTGGCTTTTGGTGGCCCTTCAAAGCGAATGTAGTCATACATAACACCGTTGAAAGGATTTTCGCTTCTTGATTGCTTTAGATATATCGTATTTCTTCCATGCACGAGTTGAGATCCTGATACATTGACGGAATACAGCGAGTATAATCCATGAATTCCATGTCTTGCAATTGCGTTATCCCTACCTATCAACCTCGTAGTGAAATGAGGATGCGTTGCGTTTGGGTTATTGATCCGAACCTATAAGAAAACATGAGTAATCATTATCTATGTAATTAACCATTTTTCATCTAATGAAATCAAAATTTTAAGCAACCATACTTGTATTTCAGCATAACTGGCAGAAGCTAGAGCTATCTGGAGCGTATAAGTTCCTCTCCTCCTCACATATTTTAAATCAAACAAAACTTGCCATGTGGTTGCTTCAAACTTGTCGCCATTATTCATTCTCCTGAACGTTCAAACTTATGATTAGGAATTAATTTCCAAGAATATCTAAATGATCATTAAAGAATATGCTAAATACCTATTGACATGGGCAAAGAACCAATCTTTTCTGTAATCACTGATGCCTACTGTGTAAACTAGATCTTTATCAGGGTACAAATCTGTATATCGATTCCACAAACCGTACTGTCTATACCTGAGTGTAAAGAAGATGGTTAGTAGTCATCTTTTAAGAAATTATTGAAAATAAATCAAACAACAGTGGTGTTCATTTAATAGAGAGGTTACTTCTCTGTGTGGTTTATAAATAAATGGTTCCTGAACTGAGGCGCTGGATCAGGCACATAAAACTCAGTAGCAGTACGATCAGGGATTCCAATTTCCCATAGGGTCGGACCATTTCTTGGAGGATTATATACAAGATTGCCGAGTTGAATTTGGCTTCCTGTACCAAAAATCGTGTTTTTAGTGATATATGTTTGATATTTTTTCAAATCGCGTGTAAAGAATTATATATAAATCATATAAGTATTGAGAATAAAACCTGGTCTGACGACTATATCAGTTTCATATTTATAGTCTCCCATCGCTCCTGGGACCCAAGCGTTCAAGCTATATTTGCCTCCTCTAATGGCTTTTATTGTGAAGTACCCATTTTCATCGGTTTGACTCCAAAATTGATAACCCTAATAATAGTAGTGATAATAAAATAATTAATACCACGCCATGACGCCAATATGCTTTTTTGGAAATAGTTATAGAAATAGATTTAAATATAACCTTAGTGTCTGTTTGCCAAGATCCGACACCTCCCGGTGGAGCTAACCCCACATATGCTGATTTTGCAGGCATGAAATGTGGATTAAGGTACATGTCACGGACTAATAATCGACCGTTAATGGTACCCCGTTGATTGGCATGAGGGAAATCTTCTGAACGTGGAAAGTCATATGGCCACTTTTGGGTTTCTTTTTGCATCTGATGGAGTAAGGATTTACAAATTTGAGTTAGGTTGGTAAAAATATAAATGAAAAAATAAATAATGTTTTGTTGCGAGAGATTACCTGTTTTTTAGCATCTGCCCAAATTCCTGAGTTGAGATATATAAAAATTGGGCCAAACACCTTTTTCCACGGCTCTCCATTTCGTAATCTAATCCCGAAATCAGAACCAGCGTAATGACCACTGAAAAATATCTGAACATGGATAGTTGAAAGGGAATTAGTGAATGAGAAAGTGTGAGTTCAATTTTTAGACTAAAATTATTGATGAGAACCTGTATTTTCTAAAGAAGAAGATGAATTATGCAAGATTCAAGAACTACTTACTGCTAAAGAAGTTGGGCCAACATGAGATGTAAGATCATTTTTTATTGGACCACCAGCACGAAATTCATTACTTGGAGTTATCACCCAAAACCCTACGTGTGGACGAGAGCTAATCCACCCGTGCACCAAACTATCCTTGTTGTCGTATGAGTACTGATACTTGTCATCGACCTAATCAATAAATTTCACTCGCTTGATGTATCATTTAACGGGAAAAAAAGGGAGATAGATACTGTGGCACAACACTACCAACTTTATGACATGTAAGCAATGGTTAGACACCTACCTTGGCTTCGAGGGTTGGATTGCTAGGCTTTGTCAACAAAACGGCTTCTCTATAGTCGAGCACTCGACCTCCTATACGATCATAGTCTGTTGGCATGGGTGTTTGTAAGTTGTCTGATACAGCCATATAATGGAACCTACATATACAATACAATACAATTAAATTATATGAGTTTTCTTCACCAATTACTGAGCTTGTAACGCATTGTAAAGTTACTAATTCTCGAATCTTACAGGTCTTGGTGAAGCTTGAAAGTAATCCTTGCTTCATCAATATTTAGATCAGGCCATCCCTTCAAATGTTCCATTGTTGCATAAGAATAGAAACCAGAAACACCGCGCAACATTATATACCTGCAAAATATTTTATTAGTAGGCACGGTACTCTATCGAGTTTTCGAATATATATGATATCTTTATTAATAAATTAAAAGCTACCTTTTATCGATATTCAAGGGAATAGAGTAGCTACGAGAAGAATTCCAAGTTGTCTTGAATGAAACTTCTATCATATCTTCCGTTTCTTCTATAACTTTGAAACTCGTCCCTTGAATCCTGCATAATTTTTATTAGCATGTTCTATTACATAAATAAGTACAGTGTACATGTAATAAACTTAGAATTCTAAAATATCCGGATTTCTTCGAACTTACGTGTCGAAATAACTTTTGCTCTCATGTGGCCTACTCCACACAATGTCCCAATACCTAGATATACAAATCCATTTAAAGCACTTGAGTTAATATTAGTAAAAGAGGATTATAAAAATTGTTCGGTAATTCTTGATGAATATATGATATTTGTTTTTCTAGGTTTACAATTATTTCGTACTAGTTTCAAAGCAACTCACCCTCTACTCGATTCTTTAAAACGATTCTCTAGTACATTCTCGGTATTTTTGTATTGTATTCCTGCGATGTAACCGCTTGGAGACAATAATGTGAGTTTAACAATGCCATTGTCCAATATCACCTGCATAAAATACCTTTAATCAATTTGGATTCAAGTAAGTGTCATCTTTATTTCATGGGATTTATGAAATAAAACAACAAATTTTTATGCTCGTCTTTTTTTTCTTTTCTTTTTCCTTTTTGATAACTGTGTAAAGTACCTCTGAAAGACGAAAAAGAAACATATAGAGTGCGTGTTTGCTACATTTTAAATGACATTACAATAGATAGAGTTTTAAATTTATTAGGAAACATATATAAAAGTTATGTGGGAAATTTAGGCTTACACGATCACCCCGTTTATACAGTTTGAGTGGAGAAGATGACATCTGTTCACCTTTCTTTGGAATCCATCTGCAAATGTGATTATTCAATACTTTACGTAAGCAGTTGACAAATTAATAAGAAAAACTGTAACCTATCTAGTAGAATAATAGGCTGTCTAACATAAAGTTTTTGTTCTCTTAATTTCCTAACAACCTTGCTGTTCAAACAGGGTAGGAGATCAACCTAAAAACAGGGGGGCCCTTGATTTGAATTCATGTGGGACACTTTTTTTCCAAATCAGGGCTGAGGTGTCATCACCTCAGCCCTCTTGACCCTGGACAAGCAGATTAATTCATTTCCTAAATGCCATATGTTGTTCAACAGTAAAATGATGTCAGTTCAATTTGTGGAGTTGGCAACAAATCCAAAAGGGCAAGAAAATGGGTATTGAAGAGTAGTTGGATGCCTAATATCCAACTGCCTTGGACTGTTAATGCAGTACATGATGACTTTGCAAATAACTTATAATATTACTAGATGTTTTTATTAAATACTCTATTTCCTTGTTCGAGCTTCATTTTTTCATCAAAATGAATTTTTGAAAAGTGATTTAACCACATTTCAACCACACGTTCTTCAATAAAAAAATATTACACGCAAATTCAAACTTTTTCCTTTTTTTAACCATATATACTCTATCATTAAACTATTGCGAAATGAATAAAGCTATTTGTACAAAAAGAATTTGACAAAAATGTTGACAAACACTCACATGATTGCCGGCCCCACATGAATAAAAAATTGAAAATAAAAAGTGGGCCCCCCCACATGTGAGGGTTTGTCAACATTTTTGTACAAATTCTTTTGTACAAGTAGCAAGGTTCTATATTTATTTTTCCCCTTTTTTTTATTTGGGAGATGTGGGGATGGGTTTGAGGGACAAGTTCAATGTGTNGGGGGGGGGGGGGGGTGCTCAAACAGGCCCTATATGTTTTTCTGGTTTTATACATGCAGGAATACTACTAAAAAAAATGGCTGTGAATCTGCAATTTTTTCATAAATATGATGCCATGTATCAAAATTAACTTTACAAAAAAGAAAAAAAAAACGAAGCAAGATATTGTTTTGTAATAAGCAAACCTGTCAGAAGTGTTGGCAGCAGAATCAACATGCAAGAACAATGAAAACGCGATTGCAAGACATCCTAAAACCAAAAACCTTTGTGTCCTCTCCATATTCGCAACAATTAAAGAATCTGCTAACCAACAATATAGCAGGAGAGTCATGTCTCAGATTATAAAACAAATTGAATCAAAAAGATTGACGTTCGAGGAGAATATCTGTACGCTAATTGCATCATATCAGCTCATACAGAATCATGAACAGATGTAATAACCTAAAGAAGACAGCATGCAAGATTGAGAAATACCTTGAAGAAAACAAGCAACTAATTTGACACTGAGAAAGCTAATTAAATAAATGGATCATAAAATGTATGCATTTCGATTAGGGTTGTATTCTATGATTACGATTCTACCATATATGTTTTTTCATTCCGTCGAAAATCGATTTTATGGTATAGACGCTTAAGCTAATTAAATAAATGGATCATAGGTTGGTTGCACATTGAGTTCCGCTTAGGCTATGTTTTTGCTCACAATGAAAAATGAAACAAGAAAGTAATATAACATTATCAAAATCACATAACATATTTTCACTATAAGACACTAGAAAATGGCTGGAGCTCTTGAATACATCAAATCTGCCATGTTACAGCATATCGAGACCGATTAAAATGAGCATATTATTGTCACGGACATCAATCACGTATGAGTGACGCTCATAGAAAACTTGTAATGTTTTCACTAGCATGGGAATGATGCAAATTAGTATCGAATAATAGAAAAGTAAAATAAAAAAGGGATTACCGTGAAGAAGATACGATCACATGAAACTCGACGAACTCTCTCTCCTAATGCTTATAGTAATTTTTGAGGTTCAAGACAATAGTAAACCAACATATTTATAATCGAATTATCATCATAATTTGACCTTACACAAAATCCTACGTTGACTTTTGAATATATTAGGTATTAATTTAGGTACGTATTTCCCCTAATTAATTCTGAAAAGTCGATTGAATTGGCGCATACAAAGGAGAATTTCCCTTTTCTACACGACTTTAAGATAAGGTTGTTTAATGTTTAGTCCTAATTGGTCTATGTTCTAACCAATTAATGAAGAAAATATAAGATTATTTAGGCACCCCACTAATTTGTCAAATATTTCTCGAAGTCCATTGGTGGAGTTTTCAAAGCTACAGTTTAGGTTTTTTTGGCCATCTCCCAGCATTTCCTTTGATTTTCCAAATTAAATATTCGATAATAAATAGCCTCTATTTTTTTTTTATATAATCGTAAATGTTCAGGTCAACTTGTGTGCACATCAACTAATCCCATGGAGCTCTGAAGTTTACAGCCGGATACTTACCTCAATGGCTTTGAGGAGATTCGAACTGATAACCATTGGAGAGCAAACTCAATGTCTAACCAATTGAGTAATTTCTCAATATTAATAAATAGAATTTCCCAATTCCCATTTAAATTATTGGGATAAGTTAATTTTTTATGACTTAATAATGATGTAATAATATTTCTAAATTTCAATCTTATTAATCTATATATAGAGGTAAAACTGCATTTGACGGATTTGGCTTTCAGGTCTTACAATCAACATTTCTTACCATGACAATTTTCATCACCTAAAACTCGGCCCAACATGCATCAAAGGTAGCTCTTGTTAGGCCCAGTGATGCATGTACAAACATGGCCCATCTTGTAATATGCATAGCGGCCCATCTTGTAATATGCATAGCGCCTAGTACTCATCGTTTACAGCTAAAACTATTAGGTTATCTAATCATGTTTACTCTCCTAACTAGCTTTTGTTTCTCAGTGTTAGAATTGGTCCAACAAAGTGTCATTGGTGTTTTTTTCGATCTCTACGCATTTACTTGCGCCTACCGTACTCCAATTTGTTAGTTTCCACTGCTTATTCAGGATTGAGCCTTGGGATTTGACGATAAACTTAAAAGGCTACCAACAAACGCTTAAATCCCACTACCTTATTAGTTAAAGCTCATTATCTACTCATGTATATTAACTAGAGATTTTAGGGTTTAGTACCAAAATGTATATTTCATCTTGAAAAGTTATCTGCATCAAGTATAATATTCTCCTGCTTTGATTTGGAATAATTGTATATTCAGAAATTAATGAATTGGAGATGCAAACGAAAATAATGTCGGCTGGGACAGCCCACCGAAAGTGCTAGACCACACATTTCGGCCAACTGCATCTCATCCAACTCCAAATTCTCATAATCTTTCAGCTATAAATACCCAATGAAACACTATTTACTATCCATGCAGAATATATACACTAGCCGGAGCTTGCTCTTAACAACATTTTCTGTCTTAAAAAATGGCCACTATCATCCTATCAGTTCCATCGTTTCCTTTACTCTCACCACCTCCATCAAATTGCAGGCAGAATATCTTTTGCTTTGCAGCTAACCTGTAATTCTACAATCATTTTCCATTGTTTGAATTGATACTACTCTATCCCTTTGCCCTGAGAAATCCTAGATTTTAGGCCACTTATTTCCTACTTCAGTAATAGATTTTTTTCTTTAAAGCTTAAATACTTAAGAAAAAATAAGGGAAGATTCAATACTGTGGAGATTAGGAGAAGTGTTTATATAGAGCAACAAACCATCAATAAATATATAAAACTTAGAGAAAAGGAAAGAAGGGATAGAATGACCTCAACAGTAGATCAATAAGTAGCCTCCCATAATCATCTCACAAATACAGAAGCAAGCACTTCAATTATCTGTAAAACCGTGAAGAAATTTTTTATTTATTTTTTGAATAACCGTGGATGTCCGGACCAGTTTACGCGCACCTCGATTAATCCCACGGGCCTGTAGTTTACGGGTGGGTACTCGCTTCAGTGGCCCAGAGGGGATTTGAACAGGTAAAACCGTGAAGAAATCCAACCAACTAGTGCAGAACTAAGATGGAGGACGCGAAAGAAAACGAACAGTTGAGATTTTAGGCAGTGGTAGATTATCCTTTGCTGCCTTTGGGACAGATAGATGGCTTCGTCGGCAATGGAAGCAATGTGGCCTTGAGCAGGTTCAGAATGACTTTACACAATGATGGTAGCTAGTCGGTACAAGTAGGAAAAGCCAATAAACTTATGGAAAATAACGAATTCTTTCAGAGTTTTAGGTGTGAAATTGATTTTTTGAATCCTCCACTGTCTACCCTTGTGAATCTTGAAGGGAAAATTACAGGCAAATTGTAACATATTAATTATTACCATTAATTGGTACGTGATTTCCAATCATTTTATGTTAGGAAATCTAAATAATTTAATTAGGATTTCCCTCATTTTAGAGAGTATCACCAAATATAAAACATTCCTGAAGATTGTCATGAAAAATTTCTCAGTGTCGGAGTAGTAATTCAGACAATTGAATGCTCGTAACAATTTTCGTGAAATTTTAGGATAAGTTGGTTGTAACTTTGTCGATGTATTAGATAACGACGTTTTAATGTAACATTTACGGTAATTGCTTACTGCAGTTTTATGTTGAATTACAAGTTGTAAATAATCAGTATTATTACAATGGTGAAATATGATTGTAAAATTTCTCGTGAAATTTTGATATTGAGAGGTAGAAAATAGATTTAGCACGTCACAGTAATCGTTATAAAGTCCGAATATGGATAGAGATATAACTAATTGCTTTGTGTGATCGTAAATTGAATATTTGTATTTTTCAAATATTTTTGCATATTCGCGTACTTCATGGAGATATCACAAGGTCGTACGTAAAATTCGATTTAATTAGATAATGTTAAGCATATATATAAATTAGAAATATTGATAATCAATTTATTCCAGTATTGTCAAAGATTTAAATGGTAAGAAGTGAGGTTAAATAAAAAAAAGTATAAAAATTATAAGTCAAAGATTCAATAATACAACAATTTTAACGGTAAGATGTTCCATTTATTACTTAATTAATATAGCTATCCTTATCAAGAGTAATTATATTTTATAGTGGAACATGTATTGGACTTTCTAGACAATTAATTTGCCTATTAATTTAAATTTAATATCATTATAGTTTTAATAAGCATGAATTAAATTATACAATATATATCTTTTTTTTTATTTATTTATCGGGATTATATGTAAATTCTCTTTCCAATAAGTGCATTTTGTGAAATTTAATATTAAAAAAATAAAATGTTTGAACAGCAGATTGTGATTTTAATTGGTAAACTAAAATAAATGATTTAAATAAGTTGAAAAGATAAATAATAAGTTTTAATAATTAATTAGCACAAAATTTGCATAATTAAGTGTCATTTAGGTTGGAAATAAGGAT